GATTTCATTCTGCTTGGATCAACCATCAGCACTCATGGAAGCAGCAGTCAAGAAATCAAACGACATATTACATTAAGCAAATCTGCTGCACAAGACCTCTTTAGTATTGAAGAACAAAGATGTCAGTTTGAAGACTAAGGTACGCCTGATGGAATCCATGGTATTTTCAATAACCTCATATGCATTCTAAAGTCGAAATAAGGAAGACCGTAGAAGAATTGATGCTTTTGAGTTATGGTGTTAGACGAGAATATTGAAAGCGCCATGGACTGCCAAAAGAACCAACAGATCTGTGTTGGAAGAAGTGCAGCCAGAGTGCTTCTTGGAGGCCAGGATGACCAGACTTCATCTCTCATACTTCAGACATATTGTCAGGAGGGACCAGTCACTGGGGAGGGAGATCATATTTGGTAAAGTGAAGGATCGGAGAAAAAGACCCCCAGCGAGATGGATTGGCACAATGGCAGCATCCGTGGGCTCAAAAGTAGCAACGATTGTGAAGTTGGCCCAGGACTGGGCAGTGTTTCATTCTGTTGTGCACAGGGTCGCTATGTATGAGTCAGTGCTGAGTCGATGGCACCTAACAACGATATCCTATACCACTTCTGCTAATGCCTACCCAGGGAGACATAGGATCTGGAGAGAAGGAGTGCTGATTTTAGATGGAGTGGTCTCACTGGTCACTACCGTGGCTGGTCTCATAGGAGGGGTTGTGGACAATGCACAAACTATTACAAACACCTCGAGGTTGTTGCAGTACATCCCAAGATGTTGGTATTACTACAGAAGCAATCCAATACTCTCTTGACTCTGGCAAGGCAGGTGATGGACCACCGAACAGCACAGGACTAGCTTCTGGCTAGCCAGGGGGCAGTTTGTGCTTTGGCAAATGCCACCCGCTGCTTTTATATCAATTCAAGTGGAAAGGTAGAGGAAAGTGTGCAAGGCCTGTTAAACATAGGCAAGGTTTTAAGACACAGTCAAAAGGAAGTAACTGGAAACATTGGGACAATTACTAAACGCTAGATTCCCTCAGTGACTCGGTTTCTCCCTCTTTTTGGAGCAATAGTGGATATAATAGTACTTATACTGTTTGGACCTTGTGTGTTTAACCTGTTGGTTAAATTTGTGTCTTCCAGAATCCAACAGTTCCAAATGAAAATGATGGTGGTTCAAGGCTTCCAACCCTAACCCACGGAACATTTGGATGCGGCGGCGGCCAGATTCATGGAAGTGTAGGAGTCAGAATAACTCAGGAGAAGGGTCCTAACAAGGCAGCTCATCTTCCCGAGTCAGCAGGAAATAACCAGACAGAACGGCGTCCGATTTCTCTTCAAGAATTCAGGATCCCACTCTTTGAGGGACAGAGTAGGACCCTAACAGCCAGCCTGAGTGCACCCCAACACCCGACACTTGAATCACTAACTCCAGGAAACTGAGCCCAGCACCCCATCTAAGAAACACAGCCATGCGAGACCACCCAAAGGCCCAAAGGTGCAAATAAAGACTATGTGCCACCCAGACCCTGCCACCAATGAGAATGAAACTTGAGGGAGACGAGCCAAAAACCCTATAAAGGAGAATAAAGACAGAAGGTCAAGGTGCTGTCTCACTCGAGAGAGACTACCCGCTTCTCCTCTTCTGAGAAATGTATTCTCATAACTTAATAAACCTTGCTTACTACCTGCTACTTTTTGTCCATGTGTACCGTTTGTACCAACCTCACGTGGGTCTTGCTAGACATGCATTAGTCAAGTTATCGGACCCTAAAATGCCTGTCAAAGATGAGCTGCTGTCTCTCAAATGCATCGTATGCGGGGAATGGAAGCTCTCAGACAGTACCACACGCAGCGTGTGGAAAAGTCTACTTCACAGACAGAAGGGTTCTCACATAACAAAATTCATCCTTCCGCATCAGAGGGGCCCTCACTGGGTGGCTAGTCCTCCATGTCTTCAGACTTTGAGCTTTGTGAAAGCAGGGGTCTCACAACTGTCCACACATGAAGCCATGGACAGGAGGGCACCTTCCTGGGGTCTTCATACTGTGGGGTGGGGCAGCCAAGGGTGACTGGATGGTGGCAGGAATGTGAGGCCCTGGGCCCCTGTCCCCCATGGTTTTGACTCTCAGGAGGTGTTTCTAGCTGGCTGAGGCAGCCAAGTAACACCTGTTCCTTTCAAGGTCTCCAAGGGCTGCGTCTGCCGGTCACCAGCAGAAGAGCCGGCCCAGTGGCCAGAGGTAGCGGTGGTCGATGCTGGGGCTCACAGTTCTGGGAATGACCTGTGGACCTTGTGGGCTGGTCCGTCCATGGGCCCAGGGTCTCAGCACAAGTGGTAAGCCAGGGTTCTGGACCCTGGAATGAAGTCGTGGTCCTGGGACCCTCCCAGCTGGACTGTCACCAACACTGAGCATGCTAAGTGACCACGGGGCCCATGAGGAGCAGCAGGCCAGGCCACTGGTGGGGGGCAGGAGCAGGTTAGTGATGCCCGGCTGAGGTCAGGCTGACCTGGGGATGGGGTGGGGGCAGTTAGTGCGCCATGCATTCAGGCATATGGGTCTGGACAAGTGATGGGGCATGCGGTCAGCTGGGATGAGTGGTCAGCATGGTTAGGAATGACATCTGATTCCCACCTAGATTATCTGGGGTTTAGCCAGGAAACCAGCTACTTACAGAATGTTCCACCTGCCAATCAGACGAAGGGGGCTTTGTTCTGACAAGAAGGATGGATCCCCAATCAGAACGAAATGGGCGCAGGGTCTGCTCCCCCCATTTCAGGCTAAAGCACCCCTGACATCAGACCCTCTCTTCTTCTCATGATGCCTGGGGCAGCTGGCGGCTCCTTCCCAGGTCTGGGATATGCCTGCGGCTGGAGCAGGCGGGTGGGGATGGAGACAGTCTCAGAACAAAGGGAGGCCTTTGAGACTGATGTCCTGTCACTCTCCGGGGAGAGCTTTGTCCCTGCCTGCATGCATTTGCTCAGGGTCAGGCCTGACCAGTCTGGGCAGGGAGGCTGCTTGGTGGATGCTGCTGGTTGTGGAAGAGCCATTAAGGTGGTGGCTGAGGAGCACTGTCCCCAGAAAGGGCCGGGCAAAGCGCTCTGTCTGGACATACTCAGCCTCCCCTGGCCACGCTCTGACCACCTCTCCACCTGCCTGCTCAGCCCTTCTGAAGCCCAGACCCCTTCACAGAGCAGGAAGTGGCCAGCACTGGGGAACTCTGAGAGGGGGGAGGGAGCATGGGGGAGGCACGAGAAGAGGGGGTAGAGGGGCTCTGAGGGGGTAGGAAGTGAGGGGGCTCTGAGAGGAGGGAGGGAGTGAGGGGGCTCTGGGAGGAGGGAGTGTGGGGGGGGCCATGAGAGGAGAGAGTGTGGGGGTTCTGGAAGGAGGGAGGGAGTGGGGGGACTATGAGAGGCGGGAGTAGGGGGGGCTTGGTCAGGAGAGGGCTCTGGTTATCAGAGTCAGCTGTATCCTGTATATGGGTCCACTGGCTCAGCCTAGACCGTAGTTGTGAGCAAGCACTTGGGGTCTCCCCTTGGGTCCCGGATGTAGACACTTACTGCGGTAGTGAACTGCCCACTGCGCCTTGGTGGGCTCCTGTCCGGTGAAGCTGGGGGGGTGCTCTGGGTGGGGGTCCCAGAGGAGCCAGGGTCCGATACACCATCATCCTCAAGTTGCGGCAAAACTGGGTGCCTGGGATGGTGGGCACTGCCTGTGCTATCCCCCGAGGTGCACTGCGAGGACCCCGAGCTCTCTGTGGCTGCAGATGGAGAGGCCGGGTTGAGGGGCCTGGGCAGCCGGCTGGCCGCTGCTCCACCAGCCTGAGCCCCCTGTTCCTGGCCGTGTGGTCCACGGGCACCCAAGCTGCTCGGTGTTCACTGCGCAGTCTCTCCTGGTGGTCTGTCTGTTCTTTAATGTATTCCCTTCCCATCCATTTTGCCCAACTATTTCATCATCTTCTTTCGGTCTTGGTTTCGTTATAGGAGTTTTAAACTGTTTACATTTTTCCTTCTTCACCCAAGTTATGTGTCTAAGGAACTCTGGTAGTGTAGTGGGTTATGAACTGGGCTGTTAACCAACAGGTCAGCAGTTCAAATCTACCAGCTGCTCCTTGGAAGAAAGATGAGACTTTCTGCTCCCATAAAGATTTACAGCCTCGGAAACCCTATACAGGGTCGGAACCGACTCCACGGCACAAACCACCAATCAGTAACAGTAACTTCTAGTTAATGATTCTCACCCCCACCCCATCCCTGGTACCCTGGAGTCTGTAAGGGTGTGGTGGCATGGGGACAGTGAGCAGCCCTCTGGACCACTTGGCTCCCTCCTCATGAAGTCCCCTGCTGCCTGTGACACAGGAGAGAGGGGCCCCTCTGAAGTGAGAGTCACCCGTGGAAACTGAGTGGGCATGCTCCTGGAACTCCGTGCTTGCAGTTTGTGTCCAACAGCCAACTGAAAGGCTGCTAGTTCACATGTGTGCCACACACTGTCCTGTAACCGCAGGCTGGCAGTTCACACCCATCAGCTGCTCTGTGGGTCAAAGATGAGGCTCTCTGCTCCTGAAGGACTTGCAGCCTCAGAAATCCTACAGAGGGTCACTCCGAGTCAGAACCGACTCCGTGGCAGGCTTTTAACTCTGTCTGCTGAGCTTTGTTCTGGGATGCCGTGAAGTGACTAGAAAACACGGATTCTTTCAGCTTTTGTTTTCATGGTTTGGTCAGATTTAGGCTCTACACAGTGACCCATGAGTGTGTCTAGGCAGAGACCATACTTTCCGCACACCTGCTCAAGTGCCCGGCTGCTCTGGTGTAGGCCTCCGTTCACTGGACTCTGCTCTTATGGGACCCCTCCCCACCCTGTGTCTCCTCACTCAGGGTCCCCTCCCCACCCTGTTTGTTTCTTGTCTCTCAGGGATCTCTGCTTTTCTTCCCCTAAATCTAATTTCTTTAACTCTGTTTTGTTCATTGTTTAGGGTATTTGGTTCTCAATCCCTTTTGTTACATCTATCTCTTACTCTTTAAAGTAAAAGAAAAAGTTAAAAACCATTTGGAAGAGCATGAAATCGGGTAAAATGAAGGAGCTCAGGTACCCTCCGACCCGGACCCGGCCGCAGCAGGCCCACTGCCCCGGCTCCCTTAGAGGTGTGTCCACTCACTCATGGAGGGCTGGCTGCTCGTCTCCAGCTCGTCCTCTTGGATGCAGGCTCGGACGTCGTAGGGCCAGGGGCAGAAGGCAGGGCTCAGCGGGCCTGGGGGGCTGGGGTACACGTGCAGGTTCAGTGAGCCCAGGATGGAGGAAGACTGGCTACTCGAGGAGGAGGACGTGCTGCTGTCTGAGATGCTGGAATGGGGCCTCTTGAAGGGGGTGGTGTGGTCAAACGAGGACACAGCGATGGACGCACGTGACCGAGACTCTGGAGGTGGACAAAAGAGCGAGTCGGAAGTAGTGCTGGGTGGACACCACATGACTCCCATTCAGTCACCTGGTTGGCCCATAAGAGTCACACCCTCGGGCGTGAGGTTCTAGTTGGCTGGGCAGAGGGAGGGACAGTCCCAGAGACACTGTACCTGTACCCTTCATGATGTAATCAATGGCCCGGTCACTTATGGCGGCCTCGCTGGGCTTGATGTCCATGAACGGCTTATTGCCTATCCCCATAGACACCATTTCTTGCATTCGGAGTTCTAAAATAGAAGAAAGTATAAACAGTTTTCTTTTTTAACTTTTTCTTAGGAATCAGACGAAGGTTTACAAACCCGTTTTCCGTTTAACAATTCATACACATTTGAATGTAACCCTCAAAATGCAACATCACTTCGTGGTTTGAATCCACCACTGAAAATGGTGTGTAATCCCGACAGCCAGCTGAACCAAGGGGCCCAGTCCCTGCTCTCTAGAGCTCTGGAGGGGACCACTCTGTTCTGGGACATACATCTGCTGCGACCTCGTAGCTGCCACTCAAGGAAGCCGAGCGAGTGAACCATGGAGGAGGACACATGACTGTGGATCTGGGTAGAGCGGAAGTAGGGCTCCTGACGAGCATGCGCACAAGGAAACAAAGCTAACAGGGATCTGGTGTTTGACTGTTGAAAGGAAACCTAAGCCTGAGGAGAGACTTTGAGAGTGAAACAATTCTTGGTGACACTCAGCAAAGAAAAAACAGAAAATGATGACGTATGTGAGGTGATAGGAACTATACCCATGTCTACTACCAGATTCCACTATGCTCAGGCTAATACATGCACACCGAATAACGTTCTAACGAAAGGGTTCATTAAAATGTTTTGGGAGCATCGGAAGAGGCGACGTTAGGGTGCCTGCTGCCTACAAGAGTTCACTCTTCACTTCCCAGACTAGAAGGTACTAAGTAATGTGGAAAGCTGAGTCATCAAGAGGTTGTTGTTGTTGTTGTTGTTGGGTGCTGTGGGGTTGGCTCTGACCCACAGTGACCCTATGCACAATAGAAGGAAACCCTGCCCAGTCCTGCCCCTCTCCCCACTGTACCCACCACTGTGCCAATCCCTCTGTTGGGGGCTTCCTCTTTTTCGCTGAACATCTACTTTACCAAGCATGATGTCCTTCTCCAGGGACTGGTCCCTCTTGATAACATGTTCAAAGTCTAAGACACAAAGTCTGGCCATCTTGGCTTCTAAGAAGCACTCGGGCTGTACTTCCTCTAGCAGATTTGTTTGTTCTCCTGGCGGTCCATGGTACTTTCAATATTCTCCGCCAACATTCTAACTCAAGTCCATCAATTCGTCTATGGTCTTTTGTAGTCATTGTCCAACTTTCACACGCATATGAGGCGATTGAAAATACCACGGCTTGGGGCACCTTAGTCCTCAATCTTTGCTTTTGGACACTGTATGGAGGTCATGTGCAGCACATTTGTCAATGCAGTCCGTCTTTTGATTTATCAAATGCTACTTGCACGAGTGTTGATTATGGAGCCAAGCAAAATGAGTCTTTGATATCGTCAATCTTTTCTTCATTTATCATGATATTATTTATTGGTCCAGTGGTGAGGGGGTTTTATTTTCTTGACTGATCCCGAGGCCCCAGTGGGGGTAGAGTCAGCCTGTCTGTGATTGGGCAGGCTCAGCGTGATCCAGGGGGCTTGGTGGCCCAGGCAGTCTTCAGCTTCTCAACATCATCAGTGGGGACTGGGGATGGTAGTCACCTGGTGTGTTCTGGCCAGCAGCACTCCCTCCTTGTGCCCCATGCACCTTGCCCCCTCCCTGGACACCCTGGACCCTGTGCACCCCTGCCCCATTCCCTGAGCCCAGTTCACACTGCCGCCCTGACCTCGGTTTCGAAGAGCTTGCCTCCACAGGATCCTTCCTAGGATTCCCGTCCACACAGCCTTCACCTCGGCCGAGCCTGCCTGCAGGATGTAGGTGTCCTGCCACCTCCGACGCCGACGGAACCAGATCTCAAACCTCAAGCCACTGTCTCCCACGTTCTCCGTCATGCCGATGTCTGCCGTCTGGGTCACGGGAAACACCACAGCGCTCAGGCGGTGCAGAAAGCCTCTCCACAGCAGGGGGAGTCTGCAGTGTCCCCACGGGGCAGGAGGACGGGCTGGACTCCAAGGGACCTCTTGTGTCGATGAAGGGTTGGTCGACAGAGGGTTTATGGACACCCCCCCGGTACCCCCCACATACAGGACAAATAGTCCTCAGCCTGCCAGGGAAGGGGGCAGGTGAGGAGACCCACCCGGACCCCAGCCAGGCCTGTCTACAGAGCCCCTCTGTGCTCCTGGACCATGGGAAGGCCCCGGGGCATGCACTGCTTGTCAATACCTTGAAGGATTGTTTGTACACGTAGATGTCGTTACCACCGTCCATCTTCTTGGTCTTGCTGAACAAGATGAGGTCCTCAAAGAGGAACACCTGTCGCAGGTACTTCCTGCGTCCACAACAGATGACAAACTCATCCTGGCACCGGAGGGGCCCCTGCTCCTTCAGGTTCACCTGGAGGGAAACAGCATCCTTAGCGGCTGTGGTGTGATCACGTAGGGTCTCAGTGTAGCCAGTTCCCAGAAACACATCTCAGAGCTAGCCTTGGATCAGAAGTTTCAAACGGTCTAAGTAGAAGCTACAGCATCACTAAAAACAAAAGACTTTGTCTAACTCTCCACTGCCACCACTGCCCAGGCACACAAAGCTGCCCAGGGCACGTAGGGGCAGAGAGCAGGTGGCTACATCGTGAGGGGGCTATGCCTCAGGCTCACAGCAGGACGGTGGAGGTGTGGGAGGGCCAGGCAGACAGCATCACACATTACGTCATTTTGGGACTGAGGGTCACCCCTGGGCACAGCACTCCCTGATGTGGGCACTAGCCAGTGGCCAGTCCCTGTGTCACCGTGCTGCCCCCCACTTCTCTTTGATGCTGTTTAACATCCCACTTTAAAGTCCTTGTGTACATTTTAATTGAATGCTCCCGTTGGTGACTAAGTGACCCCATGTCCCCACCCTGCTGCTTCCTGTGGGGCTGACCAGAGCGATGGTCACAGATGGCCAATCTTCTTCCCCACACCCTCACAGAGCAGTGACCACCCTCCTGATGGGTGTGCAAAGAGCTGGGCTGGGGGCCAGCAGCCAGGCGGTTCTGTGGTCGACATCCACAAATTCAGGGGCCCAAGCTGGCTCAGTGCTCTGTGGTGTCACCTTGACAGCGTCAGTCAAGTTTTTAATGAGGTCCCCCCATCCCTCGGCTGACCTCCCGCAGCGTGGGCAGGTACTCACATCACAGCCTCGCACAGCGTCCATGGCCAGCAGGTTGTTGCCATGACGCAGCTGGAAGCGGACCATGTCCTCGGCGGCCCGCAGCTGGCTGAACTCCTGTTCTCGGGCAGGGCTGCGACCGGCCTCCTTGACCAGGTCCCTGAGCAGCAGTGCGTACTTGCTCATGCGCTGCACCGGCTTCAGCAGGTAGGAGGCCAGGTCCATCTTGTCTGCCAGCGCCTGCTGCTTGGCCTGCAAGGGGAGGGGTCCGGGCAGGCAGGTGAGCACAGCCTAGTCGGGCGGGGCTGGGACACGGCAGGGGCTGGGGGACTGACCTTAAAGAAAGAGTTGCCGTGGCTGCTGAGCAAAGCATCCGAGCGCGGCTTGTTCTTGCTGTAGAGTGCATACATGCCAAACTGCTCCTCCTGCAAAGCAGAGGGCCGGCATGGGCAGCTATGTACGCTGAGTCAGGGAGTGTGGACAGACACACAGAGACAGAGACACACACAGACACAGAGACAAGCAGACACACAGACACATGTACAGACACAGACACACACACAGAGACAGGTGGACACAGGCACACGTGTACAGACACAAAGACACACAGACACAGAGACACAGAGACACAGACAGACACACATACACAGAGACAGGTAGACACAGAGATACACAGACAGACAGACAGGCACACAGAGACACACACAGAGACAAGCAGACGCAGACAGACAGATGACTGATGGACACAGAGACACACAGACAGGTGAACGCAGACACACAGACAGACAGACACAGACAGACAGGTGAACACAGAGACACACAGACAGACACAAACACTGGAGCACAGACACATGCATGGATAGACAGACACCTGAACACAAAGATAGTTACATAGACAGACAGGTAACACACACACATAGACACTCAAACACACAGACACACAGATACACAGACAGACGCTAGAACACACCGACACATGAACATACACTTGCACACATAGAGAAACAGATGGGCACCCAGACACACACACATGGACATGCATGAACACACCCACATGTAGACAAATAGGTGAACATACAGACATGGATGAAACACACATGGACAGACATATCCAGGAAGACACGTTAACACACAGACACAGATGAACTTAACCCCATAGCCCAGAACTCTGTGATGTTTCAAACCAGGCACAGCCTGCTATGATGTTCACCAAACATTGCTGGTTGTTTATGGTGCTGTGTAAAACCAACAGACACTTCCAGGTGAAGACCCCTGAACACTGGGGCCAGACACAAACCAGGGTTTTCTCTAAGTGGAAGAGCTTCACACCAGCTCCTCAAGTTCGGTAACTGGGCGGGGTGTGATCATTGTTGTTGTTAGGTCCTGTGGAGTCAGTTCTGACCCATAACAACCCTAGGCACAACAGAATGAACCCTACGCCTGAGTCCACTGCTGCTGCCTCCGTGCCAATCCATCTTGTTGGGGGTCTTCCGCTTTTTCATTGACCTTCCACTTTACCCAGCATGATGTTGTTCTCCAGGGACTAGTGCCTCCTGATACTATGTCTGAAGTATCACAGATGAAGTGTCACCATGCTAGCTTCTAAGGAGCATTCTGGCTATATTTTTTCCAACACAGATGTGTTTGTTCTTTTGGCAGTCCATGGTACTTTTTTTAAAAAACAACAAAACTTGACTTGTGAATTTAGTGAAGGTTTTTTGCAAACAAGATGATCAACAAATTATACACTTTGTGTCACGGCAATGATTACAATCCCTTCCCTGCAACAAGTATCCTACTTCCTCCCTGTGGTTCACCATTTAAATCTTATATTTAACAAATGAACAAAGCTAAAATATTTGATGTACACAGACAAAACAAAAAATAGATATTTATTTAAATGTCCAAAGGGCACATTCTGCAAGCCAGCCTCCTGCCTGCAGGCACACAGTCTTCCTCAGTCCCTGGGCCTAGAGCCCTCAGCTGCTCTGTCTCTCCAGGCCACCGCCTCTGCCACCATCTCTGCCATCAGTGCTTTTCTAGGTAGGGATCTCACGATCCCCTCATGCTCCCCCTCTTGATGGTCCTGGGATTGTCTGTTACTGAAATGAAAGAAGAACTACTCCCCCTTTTTTAGTTATTCATCTTCTACAATTAGTTGTGATCATTTTGCATCCCCATCAGCAACAAAGGAAGTCTACCATCTCTCCACACCCTTGCCAGCATTTGTTATTTCCTGCTGTTAATATTGGTATAAGATGATAGCTCACTTTTTCATTTGCATCTCTCAAATGGCTAATGAATGACCATAAACATTTTTTTCACATGTTTGTTGGCTGCTTGAATGTCTGCCTTGGTGAAGTGTCTGTTCATGTCCTGTGCTCATTTTTAAATTGGATTGTTTGTCTTTTTCTTGTAGTGTGTAGTAGTTTTCTTTGAATTTTAGATATTAGTCTCTTGTCTGATACGTCATTGCAAAACAATTTTTTTTTTTTGCTGTCTGTGAACTCCACTTTTACTTGTTTGGTGAAATCTTTGATGAACATACCAGCCATCTATTTTACCTTTTAAACATTAAAAAATGTTTATGACCATTAGCCACTTGAGAGATGTTTGATAGTGTATGTATGTCATGTATTTGAGCCCCTAAATATGTCCCTTTTTTACATTGATGAACTTTATAGTTCTAGGTCTTACATTTAAGTCTTTAATCATGATGAATTTCTTTTTGTATGGTGTGATGCATGGGTCTTGTTTCATTCCTTTGTAAATTAATTTCCAGTTTTGCCAGCATCATATGTTTAAGAGACTATCTCTTCCTTTAATGTGTTTTGGCCCTTTGTCAAAGATCAGTTGATTGTGTGTGGATGGATTTAGTTCTGGGTTCTCAATTCTGTTCCATTGATCATGTATCTTTCATTGTACCAATACCAGGCTATTTTGACCACTGTAGCTGTGTAGTAAATTTTGAGGTCAAGGAGTGAGAGGCCTCCAACTTTGCTTTTCTTAAGCAGTGCTTTGTTTATCTGAGGTCTCTTTCTTTTCCATATAATCTTAGTGATCATTTTTTCCATCTCTTTAAAGACTGTTAGAATCTGGATTGGAATGGTGTTACAGCTGTAGATTGTTTGGGTAGTAGTGACATTTTCACAATGTTAAGACTTCCTACCCATGAGCATGGTATATCCTTCAATTTTTTAATAAATCTCTTTTGGCTCCTTGTAGTAGTTTTCTTTGTATAGGTCTTCTGTTTCTCTGTTTAGACTTACTGTAAATGGTATTGTCTGTCTAATTTCCTTTTCAGAGCTGTCTTTATTAGTATAGAGGAATCAAACTGATTTTTTTATATTGATCTTGTACCCTGCCACTTTGCTGAATCTTCCAATGAGTTCCAACAATTTTGTTGCTGAGTCTTTGGGATGTTTTATGTATAGGATCATATCATCCTCAAATAGAGTTTGATTTCTTCTTTGCCAATCTGAATGCCTTTAATTTCCCTTTCTTCCCTTATATCTCTGGAAAAGACTTCCAACACAATATTGAATATTGTTGTTGTTGTTGTGAAGTGCCTCTGCATCAGTTCCAACCCATAGCAACCCTGTATAGGGTTTCCGAGGAGCGACTGGTGACCTTGAACTGCTAACTTTGTCTGCGTCGTCTGGCCACATTGGGGAACCGGAAGTCCTTCTATTCTCTGTCTCTTGATTGGTGTGTTTAATCCAATGACTTTTTTTCCCTTTAATAAGAATCTTTTATTGTGAATTGAACGATAACTTACATGAAAGAACATCGGTTTTGCACTCAACCAATTGTATTTTGTTTCACTGCAATAATTACAACCCCCTCCATGCATCACCACTCAACATTATTTGCTTCTATTCTCTGTTTTTTGTATTGTTTTGATGTACACAAAAACACGCAGGAATATATCATCGTTTAAACAACCAAAGGGTACATTCTGCAAGCCAGCCTCCTGTCCGCCAGCACACAGTCTTTCTCTTTCCATGAGTTGCGAGTCCTCATCTACTCTATCTCTCCATGCCATCACCTCTGACTCCACCTCTGATGTCACTGCTTCCTGGTTAGGGTCCCACATTCTGCTCATGCTCTTCTCTCTTGATGGTCCTAGGGCCCTCTGTTCCTGGACTGTAAGATTAACTATTCCCACCTTTTTGTTACAAAACTTCACCTTTACAGTTGTGACAATCACAATTAGTCATGATAACAATTACTCACTATTGAATCAAATGAATCCTACCCCTATATCTTTCCACCAGACCCATCTAGACAGGATGAAAACTATTCAGTGGGGATTCTACCTCCCCCCCCCCACACACACTCTGAAACTAAACTCACTCTTGAAAACTTGTAAGCCAGTCATTTCATGCCTTTATAGCTCCCTTTCCCCCATTTTAGGTGGCCAATGTCTAAGTTGCCTATCCCTATCAACCCTGTGTACTGAGGAGATATGTTTGGTCCTTGATATGAAGACTCCTTCATTATTGGTTAGTATTTTGAACTATTACATTCATAAATATAGGTCAAGTTCATCAAATTGTAGCAATTTACACTTGCTTCCTTCATTAAATTTCTTTTATCTTCGTTGAATTCTGATCATCAAGCCATTGAAGCTAGGTCAGATGGGTACTATCTGCATGTTTGGTCATTCTTGTGCTTCTCCCCACACTTCATATCAGCTGGATGCTTCACTCTCAGCTCTAGCCCTCTGTGGCTATGTCTTTGTCCATGGGCTTAGGAGTTTCCAAGGCTACCCAGACTTCTGAGCAAGCAACCCCTTACTTTTCTCTCTCTCATCCTTGTCCTTAATTTTGGAAAGTTTGATTATGGTATGTCTTGGTGATTTTCTTTTGGGTTCTAACCTGATTGGGGTTTGCCCAGCTGTTCAATTACTTATCATCATCTCATCTTTCAGGATGTTAGGGAAATTTTTTTCCAGCAGCTCTTCAGCTATCTTTTCTGTGGTTTTGTCTCTTCCTGCTCTGGAATTCCAATCACCTGTGGATAGTTCCTCTTCATGGTGTCCCACATGACTCTTAGGTCTTCTTCAGATTTTTTCATTCTTTTCGCTGATTGTTCTTCTATCTTACTAGCATTGAGACATTTATCTTCAAGCTCACTTATTCAATTCTACTCCTTTGCCTTTTCGATGTATTTCTGATACATTAGTATTGATCTTTTGGATTTCTGTTTGAAGTTTTCGTGTTGTTTCTAGTGCATGTATCTATTTTATTGGCTTGTTCTTGTAGCATTTGTCTGAACTCTTTCTTGTTTCCCTCAACCTTTCTGTGAAACATCTGAATGTACCTCAATATCATTCTTTTGACTTATTTTTCTGGTAGTCCAATGCCCGTTCTTCCTCAAAAGCATTTTCTAGCTCTGCTTCTTGTTCATTTGTTTGAGCTACTCTTGTCTTGTTTCTTCATGTGAGCAGGAATTTTCTGCTGCTTTCTAGGCATTTTAGTGTTGAATTTTTGTGAAATTGATGAAAGCATGTTGGTGTATTGTTAGACACTCACCAGTTGCCTCCTGGTGCATGTGACCAAGATATGAGCATCTCTGTTCACTGTTCAGTTCAGAGTGGATTTAGTCAATGTTGGTTGTAGTCACTGCTCTGGTGTTTAGCAGGTGCTACTGGCTCTTATCCACTTGGTGGGGTTGTAGAGGGTACAGCTGTGGCTTGGCTATATGGTTGCAGCTGCTGTCTCCTTTGTCTTTGCGATCCACATGTAGGTTTCTGCAGCATGAATGCTTTCTCGTCTCTAAATTAATCCATGAACTCCCAAGATGTCTGCGTCCAGTTTTGTCTGCTGCTGCTGCTCATCTGACACCGCCTCTCTTACCACATGTATCCAACTTTTCCTTCCAGTTAGCACTCGGTTCCCTTTTCTATTCCTGTCTCTGGAGCTCAGAGTTAGCACTTGGTTCCCTTTTCTATTCCTGTCTCTGGAGCTCAGAGTTTCAGGGCCATCCTCTAACTAGTTCTCATTCAGTTTTCCGTATCCTTGCTGCCGAGAGCCACACAGTCTCTCTGCCATCTTTCTCCCTTTCCCATGGTACTTTCAGTATTTGTCTCCAACCCCATGACTCAAATGCACCAATTCTTCTATGATCTTCCTTATTCATTGTTCATGCTATGATATTTTCAATAGCTAAAGGCTTTCAATTGTGTGGATCATGACAAGCTGTGAACAACAGTGCAAAGTATGAGTATTTCAGAACATTTAATTTTGCTCATGAGGAATCTGTACCTGGACCAAGAAGCAGTTGTTCGAACAGAACATGGGAACACTAAATGGTTTAAAATTAAGAAAGGTGTGTGACAGGGTTGTATTCTTTCACCAT